CAGGTGGTGAAGATGATGATCATCGTGGTGTGCACCTTCGCGCTCTGCTGGCTGCCCTACCACGTCTACTTCACGCTGCAGTACCTGCGGCCCGAGTGGTACCTGCAGAGGTTCATCCAGCAGGTCTACCTGGCCGTCATGTGGCTGGCCATGAGCTCCACCATGTACAACCCCATCATCTACTGCTGCCTCAACGACAGGTGCGAGCCCCCGGGAGCACCTCGGGGTGATGSGGAATGTGGGGTGGGGAGATGGAGAGGGGGCTCGGGGAGGAAAGGATGGATGGGGCTTTTTCAGGGTGGTTCTGTCCTGCCCTCTGTCGCTTCCAGGAGATGTAGGGATGGCACAATTCTCGCCTGGAGTCTTTCCTGGTCCYTGTGGGTTTTGAGGGCAAACATCAATCTAAACAATCCCGACTGCTAATTGGGATTTCCCAGTGGGTTTTTCATTTCTCGGTGGGTTTTTTCCTCCCCTTAGTGAAAAATGGCAATTTTGTCATGTTTAGAAAAGCTGAGCTTCATCTCCCCATTCCTCTGTCCATCTCCCTGTCCATCCCATTCCTTTGTCCATCTCCATCCCACTCCTTTGTCCGTCTCCATCCCATTCCTTTGTCCGTCTCCATCCCATTCCTTTGTCCGTCTCCATCCCATTCCTTTGTCCGTCTCCATCCTATCCCTTTGTCCATCTCCATGTCATTCCTCTGTCCATCTCCATGTCCATCCCATCCCTCTGTCCATGTCCATCCCATTCCTTTGTCCATCTCCATGTCCATCCCATTCCTCTGTCCATCTCCATCCCATCCCTTTGTCCACCTCCATGTCCATCCCATTCCTCTGTCCATCTCCATGTCCATCCCATCCCTCTGTCCATCTCCATGTCCATCCCATCCCTCTGTCCATCTCCATCCCATGCCTCCGGCCGCCCCCACGCCTGTCCCCGCTCTGTCCCCGCAGGTTCCGGGTGGGATTCAAGCACGCCTTCCGCTGGTGCCCGTGGGTCAGCGCCGGTGACTACGAGGGGCTGGAGCTGCGCTCAGCGCGTTTCCTACACACGCAGAGCTCCGTGTCCAAGGTCAGCAGGATGGACACCACCACCGTGTCCTCGGCGCTCTGCGTGGCTGACGATGACCTGGACGATGCCGGCAGGGCCAAGCGGCTCTCCCTGGACATGACCTCCAACGGCTCCTCCCGCAGCGACTCCAAAACCGTCTCTGAGAGCCTCAGCTTCTACTCCAACACCCTGACCTAGGGATGTTCCCGTCCCCGGGGTGCCACGTCAGTGTCACCGCCCCGTTGTGCCGTGCCGGCGTTTTCCGCGCTGTTTTCCTGCCTCTTTCCCGGGGCAGAGCCCGGCAGCAAATCCTTGGGATGAGTTCGGTGTCTTCCGTCATGGGGTTGGGCACCGGGAATGCCAGACAGGTGGAGGGGATGCAGGAACGGGACAGAGCGGGGTTTTGCTCCAGAATTCCGACGCTGGCCCCGCTCTCTGTGAGGCACGAGGGATCTCCCAGCGCTTCCCACCCCGAGGGAAAATGAACCCGTCCCGCACTTCCCTCCTCCCGTCCTTTGTTTCCTTCTCCCTGCTGGACATCCAGAGGGATGGTCAACCTCAAAATCCAGCAAATTCCCAAAAGACACTGTTTTTGACTCCATGGGGCCACGACTCAGATCCAAGAGTTCCCATGTGGTGTTGGATCATCTCCGGCATCCACATCCCTCTGCTCCAGGGGCTCCTTCAGCCGCTCCAAACCCACTCAGGGCAGCAGGGATCACCCAAAGGGTGTCCTGAAGGGTTTCTGGAAAGATCTACGGAAGGATCTCTGGAAGGATCTCCCGAAGGGTTCCCAAAGCATCTCCTGATGGGTCTCCCAAAGTGTCTCCCGAAGGATCCCCCAAAGGGTGTCCCAAAGGGTCTCCTGAAGGATCTCCCAAAGTGTGTCCCTAAGGATTTCTCAAAGGATCTCCCAAAGGTCTCCCAAAGGGTCTCCTGAAGGATTCCCTGAAGGATCTCCCAAATGATCTCCTGAAGGCACTCAGAGCTGAGCCGGGCTTTGGTTCCCTGTGATTCCCCAGAAATCCCGAGGTGGTGCCTCTTGGATGGGCTCCCGAACTGAGGAGCTCTGGAACAGGAGAAACCATCCCAAAGCGTTTCTCGCCCTCTGGAAACAGATTCCACCCCAAAAAAACAAGGATTGACAGGAAATCGGGAATCCTGCAGAGCTTGTTTCACTCCCAGGGCTGAGATGATTCATTTCCACCTCCTGGATTTTGGTTTAATGGGGTAATTTCTTTTCCTTCACAAAACCCTTGAGGTTTGTGGTTGGATATGTGGAATATTTCAGTCCTGCTCCGATGGATCCTTTTCCCCGGGGCTGCTCAAACCCAGGGCTCCTCCAATGTCCGAAAGCAAACTCGGAGTGAGGAAAAAAAAGGAAATAAAATCCCCAAAAGGATAAACTCATCTCATGGGGAAAAAAAAAAAAAAAAACACAAATTCAGGGGCAATCTGAGGGGAATTTGCTCCTGGCTGCTGGTCAAGATCTCGTTTGTGGTGTGGAAATCAGGCTGGAGAAATGAGTGACAAATGCTGGAGAAACGAGAGATAAATACTGCAGAAATGAGGGATAAATGCAGGAGAAATTAGGGATAAATGTTGGATAAATTAGGGATAAATGCTGGAGAAACGAGGGATGAATACTKGATAAATGAGGGTGGAGAACACTCCAATGTCCAAACACACACTTGGAGTGAGGAGAAAATAGGAAATAAAATCCTCAAAAGGATAAACTCAGCCCTTGGGGAAAAAACCCACAAATTTGGGGACAATTTTGTGGGAATTTGCTCCTGGCTGCTGGTCCAAGATCTCGTTTGTGGTGTGGAAATCAGGCTGGAGAAACGAGGGATAAATGCTGGAGAAATGAGTGATAAATGTTGGATAAATGAGGGATAAATGCTGGAGAAACTAGGGATAAATGAGGGATAAATGCTGGAGAAAAGAGTGATAAACACTGGAGAAATGAGGGATAAATAATGGATAAATGCTCGAGAAATGAGGGATAAATAAGRGATAAATGCTGGAGAAATGAGGGATAAACACTGGAGGATAAGTGCTGGAGAAATGAGGGATGAACGCTGCAGAAACGCTCGGTGGATTTGCACGGAC